TTTCCATCATTAGTAACAGTTTCCCCTGTGGGACAAATAAAGTTAATATTAGTCGTATATTAATAATAGGCTACTTCATTAACTTTATTTACTATCCCTGTTGTAGTATTATTCATAAGTAAAAACCAACAAGATTTTTTTTTCACCATGTTTCAAGTTTTCTGCCTCAGTTCCAAAAGAGATGTAAAGAATGTACAAACTGAAAACACTAAATACTTTTGTGATCTATTTTCATTAGTTATTTTCAAAATGGAAATACTGACATGGATGTTTACAGAGCAGAGGTCACCTTTTTAATTCCAATTGGAGAGATGGACTTTTGTTTGTCTTTATTATTATTATTATTTTGTGCTGTATTATTGGTTACTGTGTTCTTTCTCGTTCTAAAGGCAGCAATAAATAACACTTTATTATCTAATGAGTGTCCATGTGATTTTATACATTAATAATTTTGTGAAATGAATAAATGCATAATAATCGTCATAATCGTGAAACCGTGATTATTCCTCAGACAATAATCGTACCAACAAAATCTATAATCGTTGCATCCCTATTTCAACTGTGAAAATAATAAAAAGAAATCTTACCAATTCCAAATTTGTTTGAATGGTAGTGTAAAATATTTAGTAATATAATAAAGTTCATAAAATGGCCCCTTGTCAGTCAATGTCAGTCAATTATTACCTTCACACTTGTCACAGATTACATTCTTCTGGACAGCAAGTTTCCTGGTGGCTCCATTATAAAGGTCCTCCAAAGACACGGTCAACTGATGCACCACGTTCTTTCCTGTGTACAGCAACCACAAACTTTTACTATAGACTTTTTTCACATTTCCGGGTTTCTCAGCAGCAGAAGTCGTCATAGTTGGGTACACTTCTATAGCAGTGAATGGGAGACTACCACAAATATGTTGTTTAAATTCCCATTTTCTCAAATAGCAAAAGAAAAACTTCAGGATAGTGTTTTCATGACTTTCAAAAAAACCGAGAGAGACTGATAACGGCAGTCAGTAGAGAGAACGATGTCAAATTTACCGTCACTGCCATAGACGCTGTGTTAGAAACACCCTTGCATTAGCGTTAACTAGAATAAATGCATAATAATCGTCATAATCGTGAAACCGTGATTATTCCTCAGACAATAATCGTACCAACAAAATCTATAATCGTTGCATCCCTATTTCAACTGTGAAAATAATAAAAAGAAATCTTACCAATTCCAAATTTGTTTGAATGGTAGTGTAAAATATTTAGTAATATAATAAAGTTCATAAAATGGCCCCTTGTCAGTCAATGTCAGTCAATTATTACCTTCACACTTGTCACAGATTACATTCTTCTGGACAGCAAGTTTCCTGGTGGCTCCATTATAAAGGTCCTCCAAAGACACGGTCAACTGATGCACCACGTTCTTTCCTGTGTACAGCAACCACAAACTTTTACTATAGACTTTTTTCACATTTCCGGGTTTCTCAGCAGCAGAAGTCGTCATAGTTGGGTACACTTCTATAGCAGTGAATGGGAGACTACCACAAATATGTTGTTTAAATTCCCATTTTCTCAAATAGCAAAAGAAAAACTTCAGGATAGTGTTTTCATGACTTTCAAAAAAATCGAGAGAGACTGATAACGGCAGTCAGTAGAGAGAACGATGTCAAATTTACCGTCACTCCCATAGACGCTGTGTTAGAAACACCCTTGCATTAGCGTTAACTAGTTTTTTTGTAATTTGATGCAAAGGTAATATAATACAAAGTATAGTATTATAAATGTACATACATTAAAAAAAAAATGAAAATACAAAAAATCTTTGGAGGATTTACGATGCTGGTGACCGTTGATACGCATCATCACAGTCTTGTGAAAAGGGTCCATAAGACTAGTAATAATTTATGAATTATTCAAAGTGCAACGCATGTATGTCAGCCTATTAGAACATTTGATCTCCTTGAGAAGAGTAAACAAACGTTGCAAATGGGAAAATCTGGGAAAAATTACCAACAAAAACATCAAATATATATACATATTTTGTACTGTTTTAGGTTACTAAACGTGTCAACTGAAAAAGGTCAGATTCCTTTGAAAAACAAGCTGTTCCATTCACAAATCTTCCATGAATAACATGCATTATCAGGTTTTGCACAAACGGTGGAGTCTGTAGCTAAGAAAGATATGTACTTACCTCTACTCTCCCTGTGCATGCGTCCCCCTCCTCCAAAGAACAAGTCAAAAATGTCCATGGGGGAGCCAAAACTTGGACCTCCATTTCCTCCCTCCTTAATTGCCTTCTCACCCCCTCTGTCATACACTTCTCTCTTCTTGGCATCTGACAAAACCTCGTATGCTTGGGAGATCTGTTTGAACTGGAAATACAAAAAAAAGTGAAGGGGACATAAAATTTAAACTCAACGTTCAAACTTTGAAACCACCCAGATGATCCATAAACTGAAATATAAATCCAAATTAAAAAATCACTCAAATATAAGGGAAATATTAGGGAATTTATACTTAATACTAGACATTGATAATGTATTAAATTTTGACGGTCTTACCCTTTCCCCCTCTGTTGGATTTTTATCTGGGTGATATTTCAATGCCAGTTTACGATAAGCCTTCTTCAGCTCTTCAGGGCTGGCATTAGGCTTCACACCCAGCATATCGTAAAATCCAGTCTCTTTCACCATAGTTGCCCCGAACAGGTTAATCTAGTCTGAAGAAACATTTCAAAAATACTCGATACTTGACAGCTGGATAATTATTTCATTAGTATTAACCGTGTGAGAATCACTCTAAAACTTGCCCATATTTTCAGTTAGTAAAACTAAATTAAAATGACATTAAAATCACCATAACATTCACACAGATTTAACTTGAACAACCAGATTAAAATACTAGATTTTAGTCCTTGGCTGTGTTAAAATGTTTTAAGTGGTGATTTCAAAATCACGCGACGTTAAATGTCACGCTATAGTGTGTCTGTTACTAAAAGCCAGCATTTTAGAGAAAAACAAGCGGGTAAAAATAAAGAAAACAAAGACCACAATCACTTTATTAATGCCATAGCATTTTATTTTAACAAATCGTCCAATACCGTGAAATATGGCGAAATCCCTTCTCGTCTTTATGACTCCGTGGGTCAAACAAGAGACTTCCAGAATCTTCCAGCAGCGCTCTACATCTTCTTCTTGTGGAGCATTATTGAACTTTGATTGCACTGCGACCTATTTCTGCCACCTACTGTACGTAGTGACGTATGACAGGCAATGGCGAGCAGCTGTTTCATTAACATGTCGCCGTCTACAACAGCTAATTTCGTCAGTATTTCAATAACTCTCCCTGGGCGACGATTTTCTTTCATCTGTATTATTTATATAAATACTAGCGCTTAGTTCACAAATTACGTTTCATAATCATAACGTAAAAAATGACTTTATTATAATGTTGCGCGTCTCTTGAATTCATTAGATAGCTTTTTAATTTAAACCATCAAACCCAGCTACCAGACTCAACTCTTTGCAAAAGAGATCGACCGCCCGAACAGGGACTTGAACCCTGGACCCTCAGATTAAAAGTCTGATGCTCTACCGACTGAGCTATCCGGGCTCTGAGCGCTCAAGTTGTTGTAGCGACATCTATTTCCTGCACTAAACTCGTTAGGCATGTATGGAATACGTGCCAATATGGAAGGTTCCCAACGAAGGCGCGAAAAATCGAAGGTTTTATGTCTGAATAACTGGTTTTCAAAAGAATGCTTTATAATTTGATGATATATTTTCTAGAATATAAATTCCAACACTATTAGGGAAGTCAGACTCAGCAGGCTCCATAGCTCAGGGGTTAGAGCACTGGTCTTGTAAACCAGGAGTCGCGAGTTCAAATCTCGCCGGGGCCTCATATACACTTTGTGCCGCCGACTCTACTTAGAGACTTTAAAATATAAACGGAAATAATGGCATTTACGAAACCAAAAGTTTACACCAATTTAATATTAATCAGTTTGGTTTTGTTATTTGTATTAAGGATATCATACCGCCAATGCTTCTGTAATCTGTCATTTCAGAATAGGTCTGCATCCTACACCACTGCACTGTGTCATTTGTTTATAAATTATAATTGTAAGAGTCCAACAGGATATTTTAACAACTATTTTCTGTATATATATATTTTATTTTTTTTGGACCTTGAGTCTGTAATAAAGATTGATTGATTGTAGTGAAAATCCCTGGTTCTCTATATGAACGACAGATGGCACTTCGACGTAGATGTCGACCTTCAAGAACCAAAGATCATTGTGAGAGCGTTTTAGCTTCCATTGCCTGCGGCATGTTTTGTACATCTCTGTCTATCACAGCAATTATGAGATGCAGAAAGTGAAGTGAATATTTCCCTCCTGTGTTTGAAAATGTGACCATGTTCTCAACAAATAGATTCCAATAATTGTATTACATTGTAATAGCCAATAGGTAATATTATTATATGTAATACATGTTTCATGGCACTTTTTTTGTTTTGATGACTTGATTCCAGTGTTTATTCTTAGGTTTTAAAACATTAATTGGGCAACAGAATACTCTACTTGTGTTTATAATAACAAAAAATAGATACAAAACATATTTACCAGCAGTAGTTTCACTAAATTAACATGACTCTGGTCTGGCTTAACCATGCTTTAATTTCTTTTAGTCTCTTGTATAAAAACGTTTTGTATAAAAAAATGCATGTTTCGGTGATGTTCTTTGTCTTATGTTTTATGTTTATCATATTTAGTGATAACGTTACATAGAATTCAACAGTTTACAACTTGACTGTTTATATAGGCAAACCGGCTTAAATTAGGTCACTTTCTCATTTATGCAGTTATCTATTAATTTATTTTCCGTTCCGTTGCTAAACAAATCTATATTGGTTGCTCACCTGCAAACTACATGAAAAAACATGACCAACCAAACAGGTTTCGGCATCCGTGGTGCGTTAAAGTAGCAACGTCAGATTTGTGAACGAATCATTCCTTGTTCGCGAATAGAACTGAATCGGTCCAAGCGGTTCTCTAACCAGCTCAGCGGTTTATTGGACCGAGAACCGTGGCTGTAGACTGATTTCGGAATAGCAGCATACTGCTTTCATACTTTATAAAAAATATGGAATACGACTAAGGGCGATTATGCTAGCATGCTATTATGATATTCCGAAATCAGTCCATCTCTTTCAGGGGCGCGGGAAGATGTTTTCGGTTGGGGGTGCTGTGTGTGTCCGTGTTGGGTGAGGGGGGCTGGTTCACTTACGTTGGTGCTCGTGCTGGGGATGGTGTTGTTTGGATGCCGATTTTGGAAAGTTTTTGCTGGGATGGGCATTTAAAAAAAATCTGAAATTCGCTTTTGCGCCATTATCTCCTTGTATTAAAGTTAATCTTGTTCGCATTCTGTACAGTTCATGTCTGAAACCACCCGCCAGCGTCACGTGTTAATGAGGATTAGGCTAATCATCCCATATAGAAAACATCACAAGTAAAATTAATCATGTTTATAAAGATAAACATGGGTTTATTATAGCCCACTTACAATTTACATTTCAGAGATCATTACAAATAAATTATTAAATGCTAAAACTGAATAAATTTAAATGAACAAACTTGGCGTTGCATTTGCAACCATGTGAAAACAGCCCCCTCAGCACCCCTACTTCCCGCGTCCCTGTCTACTACATAACTTCTGTCGTCTGATTATAATTTATAATTTTTTATATTATAATTTATAGCAAGTAAAAGGCCTTTTAGTATAATTCTAAAAACGTTTTGCATTTAAATTTTTACAGTTTTACAAAAAATGAAGGAAAAACTTTTTTTAGCACTATTTCAAAATACTTACTAGACTGAAGCAACTTATGTTTACTTGATTATCCATGCATTAGTTTTAGAAAACATCATTTTAAAATGTAAGTATGAAATATGATACATCAAGCTTTCGAGGAACATTTATTGTATTACATTATATGTTTTGCCCCCACAATAAAAACTACAAATCTTTGATCAATATTTTTTTTTCTAAGAAATATTATTGGGAGATATAGTTACAACTAAAAAGTTACAAAAAAAAGTTACAAAGTTATCATAATTTCATCTTACTTTTTGGCCTCTTACATATTAGCAATCGCACCAAATTGCAATTTTTATCAGGTTTTGCACAAACGGTGGAGTCTGTAGCTAAGAAAGATATGTACTTACCTCTACTCTCCCTGTGCATGCGTCCCCCTCCTCCAAAGAACAAGTCAAAAATGTCCATGGGGGAGCCAAAACTTGGACCTCCATTTCCTCCCTCCTTAATTGCCTTCTCACCCCCTCTGTCATACACTTCTCTCTTCTTGGCATCTGACAAAACCTCGTATGCTTGGGAGATCTGTTTGAACTGGAAATACAAAAAAAAGTGAAGGGGACATAAAATTTAAACTCAACGTTCAAACTTTGAAACCACCCAGATGATCCATAAACTGAAATATAAATCCAAATTAAAAAATCACTCAAATATAAGGGAAATATTAGGGAATTTATACTTAATACTAGACATTGATAATGTATTAAATTTTGACGGTCTTACCCTTTCCCCCTCTGTTGGATTTTTATCTGGGTGATATTTCAATGCCAGTTTACGATAAGCCTTCTTCAGCTCTTCAGGGCTGGCATTAGGCTTCACACCCAGCATATCGTAAAATCCAGTCTCTTTCACCATAGTTGCCCCGAACAGGTTAATCTAGTCTGAAGAAACATTTCAAAAATACTCGATACTTGACAGCTGGATAATTATTTCATTAGTATTAACCGTGTGAGAATCACTCTAAAACTTGCCCATATTTTCAGTTAGTAAAACTAAATTAAAATGACATTAAAATCACCATAACATTCACACAGATTTAACTTGAACAACCAGATTAAAATACTAGATTTTAGTCCTTGGCTGTGTTAAAATGTTTTAAGTGGTGATTTCAAAATCACGCGACGTTAAATGTCACGCTATAGTGTGTCTGTTACTAAAAGCCAGCATTTTAGAGAAAAACAAGCGGGTAAAAATAAAGAAAACAAAGACCACAATCACTTTATTAATGCCATAGCATTTTATTTTAACAAATCGTCCAATACCGTGAAATATGGCGAAATCCCTTCTCGTCTTTATGACTCCGTGGGTCAAACAAGAGACTTCCAGAATCTTCCAGCAGCGCTCTACATCTTCTTCTTGTGGAGCGTTATTGAACTTTGATTGCACTGCGACCTATTTCTGCCACCTACTGTACGTAGTGACGTATGACAGGCAATGGCGAGCAGCTGTTTCATTAACATGTCGCCGTCTACAACAGCTAATTTCGTCAGTATTTCAATAACTCTCCCTGGGCGACGATTTTCTTTCATCTGTATTATTTATATAAATACTAGCGCTTAGTTCACAAATTACGTTTCATAATCATAACGTAAAAAATGACTTTATTATAATGTTGCGCGTCTCTTGAATTCATTAGATAGCTTTTTAATTTAAACCATCAAACCCAGCTACCAGACTCAACTCTTTGCAAAAGAGATCGACCGCCCGAACAGGGACTTGAACCCTGGACCCTCAGATTAAAAGTCTGATGCTCTACCGACTGAGCTATCCGGGCTCTGAGCGCTCAAGTTGTTGTAGCGACATCTATTTCCTGCACTAAACTCGTTAGGCATGTATGGAATACGTGCCAATATGGAAGGTTCCCAACGAAGGCGCGAAAAATCGAAGGTTTTGTGTCTGAATAACTGGTTTTCAAAAGAATGTTTTATAATTTGATGATATATTTTCTAGAATATAAATTCCAACACTATTAGGGAAGTCAGACTCAGCAGGCTCCATAGCTCAGGGGTTAGAGCACTGGTCTTGTAAACCAGGAGTCGCGAGTTCAAATCTCGCCGGGGCCTCATATACACTTTGTGCCGCCGACTCTACTTAGAGACTTTAAAATATAAACGGAAATAATGGCATTTACGAAACCAAAAGTTTACACCAATTTAATATTAATCAGTTTGGTTTTGTTATTTGTATTAAGGATATCATACCGCCAATGCTTCTGTAATCTGTCATTTCAGAATAGGTCTGCATCCTACACCACTGCACTGTGTCATTTGTTTATAAATTATAATTGTAAGAGTCCAACAGGATATTTTAACAACTATTTTCTGTATATATATATTTTATTTTTTTTGGACCTTGAGTCTGTAATAAAGATTGATTGATTGTAGTGAAAATCCCTGGTTCTCTATATGAACGACAGATGGCACTTCGACGTAGATGTCGACCTTCAAGAACCAAAGATCATTGTGAGAGCGTTTTAGCTTCCATTGCCTGCGGCATGTTTTGTACATCTCTGTCTATCACAGCAATTATGAGATGCAGAAAGTGAAGTGAATATTTCCCTCCTGTGTTTGAAAATGTGACCATGTTCTCAACAAATAGATTCCAATAATTGTATTACATTGTAATAGCCAATAGGTAATATTATTATATGTAATACATGTTTCATGGCACTTTTTTTGTTTTGATGACTTGATTCCAGTGTTTATTCTTAGGTTTTAAAACATTAATTGGGCAACAGAATACTCTACTTGTGTTTATAATAACAAAAAATAGATACAAAACATATTTACCAGCAGTAGTTTCACTAAATTAACATGACTCTGGTCTGGCTTAACCATGCTTTAATTTCTTTTAGTCTCTTGTATAAAAACGTTTTGTATAAAAAAATGCATGTTTCGGTGATGTTCTTTGTCTTATGTTTTATATTTATCATATTTAGTGATAACGTTACATAGAATTCAACAGTTTACAACTTGACTGTTTATATAGGCAAACCGGCTTAAATTAGGTCACTTTCTCATTTATGCAGTTATCTATTAATTTATTTTCCGTTCCGTTGCTAAACAAATCTATATTGGTTGCTCACCTGCAAACTACATGAAAAAACATGACCAACCAAACAGGTTTCGGCATCCGTGGTGCGTTAAAGTAGCAACGTCAGATTTGTGAACGAATCATTCCTTGTTCGCGAATAGAACTGAATCGGTCCAAGCGGTTCTCTAACCAGCTCAGCGGTTTATTGGACCGAGAACCGTGGCTGTAGACTGATTTCGGAATAGCAGCATACTGCTTTCATACTTTATAAAAATATGGAATACGACTAAGGGCGATTATGCTAGCATGCTATTATGATATTCCGAAATCAGTCCATCTCTTTCAGGGGCGCGGGAAGATGTTTTCGGTTGGGGGTGCTGTGTGTGTCCGTGTTGGGTGAGGGGGGCTGGTTCACTTACGTTGGTGCTCGTGCTGGGGATGGTGTTGTTTGGATGCCGATTTTGGAAAGTTTTTGCTGGGATGGGCATTTAAAAAAAATCTGAAATTCGCTTTTGCGCCATTATCTCCTTGTATTAAGGTTAATCTTGTTCGCATTCTGTACAGTTCATGTCTGAAACCACCCGCCAGCGTCACGTGTTAATGAGGATTAGGCTAATCATCCATATAGAAAACATCACAAGTAAAATTAATCATGTTTATAAAGATAAACATGGGTTTATTATAGCCCACTTACAATTTACATTTCAGAGATCATTACAAATAAATTATTAAATGCTAAAACTGAATAAATTTAAATGAACAAACTTGGCGTTGCATTTGCAACCATGTGAAAACAGGGGGTGCTGCAGCCCCCTCAGCACCCCTACTTCCCGCGTCCCTGATCTCTTTCATATTTGGACATTTAAATCACACTGTGACGACATAAAAAAATCACATGCTGAGTTCAGAACAACATACTAGCATACTACTATTACTATTGCTGCCGTAGAAAGATATTATAAAATAGTACTTAAGCAACAGACTCGTTTTCAAACGGTTCTTTCAAACGAACTGTTCGAAAGAACCGATTCGCAGAAAAGAGTCGGACTTTCCAGCACTAGTTGAGCATTAACTCACGCTCGTGTGCGATGCTGGGGAGGTGTTGGGTGTCTCTCACTTCTTCAACTCAATTCGCAGCTCACAAAACCACGAGCGGTTCACCAGAGATCATCTACTCGAAGTCTACATGATTTTCGATAAGTCGCACCTCGTGGCGCAAGGAACTATTAAGAAGGAGAAGAAGCACAAACGGAGGAAGAGTCAACGCCGAATGTGTAGAATAAGGAAGAAGAATATTGGTCCGTTGACTATTTGTTGACACTCGCAAGGAGTTGTTGGGATCTCTCGCGCCCAGCCATGGAAATGATACGGAGATTTCTTTCCTGATGCTGCGATCTCACGCGTAAGCGTTCCCTACAAACATGTGAGTACACCTGAGATTTTATATGCTTATATAACTTATAGGAAATCACAATATACAAGCTCAAAACACATACTCGTGTGTCTATCGATGTTAGCGCAGGCAGTACAACATTACAGTGCTTAACATTAGCCTATCTGTCCTCACGCGTTCACAAAACGGTTAGTGATACTTAACAGGTTTTTCTATTGTACTTGTAGGGACACGATGTTACTGGCCTCCGCCGTGGTCGTCTGGGAATGGCTCAACGAGCACGGGGGCTGGCGGCCGTACAGCCCGGCCGTGTCTCACCACATAGAGGAGGTGATGAGAAGCGATCCCCGCGGCGGTAGCATCGTTCTAGGCCAAGCTGACAGCCGCCTGTCGCCCTACATCATCGATCTACACTCTATGCGTCAGTTCAGACAGGATAACGGTAAGATGAATATCAGCAGCGCATCATTCTACCTGTGGCAAGCCATGTTTACATTCATTCTATATAACAACGTAGTTATGTTACGATTTTATATACGTATTTAAATATCACTAGTGGCTTGAAATGAAATAACTTAGAGCATTAAATAGATATTAGTACTTGCTAATCTTAGTGATATTTTAATTGAACAATTCTGAGTAGTCCTTGCATTTTGAGTCAACCAGTGAGATAAGAAATGTTATTAGTAACATTTGGGAATGGATACTAGTAGCAGATACTTGTGAAACTACAGGCAGGTACAAATAAAACTGGATTAAATACTAATACCTATTAAAATAGTTACTAGTAACCTAACCAAGCTGTAAATATGGAAGTCCGTTTCTACCATAAAATATCTCGCAATAAAAAGGACTTTGTTTCTCACAGTTCTGAGTTTTTTTGTTTGTGTTTTTGCTCACTTGCAGTTGCGAGTTAACATCTCGCAATTCTGACTTTTTTCACACAATTCTGAGTTTATAAAAAGTAACAGGAAAAAGTCCAGAATTGTGAGATGTAAAGTCAGAATTACATGGAAGAAGTCCTAATTGTGAGATAAAAAGTCACACATTTTTATTGATTTATTTTTTAATCCCGTGGTGGAAACAAGCTTCCATACATAAGTGCTAGAACCTCATGAACAAGATTGGAATAGAATCCGGCAACAATTGGAATACATGGTACATTGGAATCAAATGGTAAAATGTCACACTTTTGGAATTATGAGTAGTAGCAAAGGAATAAGTGCTAGTATCTCTTAGTGAAACTAAAGAAAATACTAGGCATTATTGAGATACTAGTAATTAAAAAAACAAGTATCAGTAACAGATAACTGTTTTATGGAATCATTGTTAAAACGTCTTGAGAGTTAAGGGCCTCTCAAGTATTGTTAAAAGTATACAATATGTTAATATTCCAATCTATATTCCAATCTGATACAAATATTCTAATCAGTTCGTTGAAAACATAACCACAATTGATAAATAGTGAGTGGTATGTATAATTTCAAAGCACATCTATGCTCTGTAGTAAATGTACACTTGCAGTCTGCATTCAACGGTTTTAATGAAGTGTTGTTTTCGCACCTAGCAAATTTTTAACACTTATCTACTTATACATATGCACTCATTTGAGTTTTGAAGTGTGACATTGAATAATGTCCACTGTCTGCCCAGGCAGCTGTTGTTTTGGAACGATATACAATGGCAGATATATATAAGGACCAAGATATATATAATATGAGACCAAGTGGCATTTTTCACCATAAACAGACAATATATGTTAAACAATATAATATGAAAAATAGATTTATGTATGATTGGACAACACAAATGGAGGGAGTAAGAAAATAGAGGTGCAGAAAAAAACAGTAGCCCCTCACTGCAGAACAAAGATCCAGGGGGCGGGGTTGGATCCACATCTAGGGGGTGGAGATGGGTAGGCTTAGGGATCAGGGGGTGGAGACGGGTAGGTTTAGGTATATGTAAGGTGGGAGGAGTTGGATCTGGATCCAACCTCTCCCCTGGATCTTGTGTTCTGCAGTGAGGACCATCTCGAAAAAAAAAAAGGCATGTCATGCTCTAGAGCAGCGGTTCCCAAACTGGGGTGCGCGCACCCCTAGGGGTGCACAGACCGACCAGCAGGGGTGCGCGAGAGAATGCTTTTGCTGATCTGTGTGCATTTTTTGAAGGGGACCGGACAACTAATCTAATCTTATTAAAACATCGAATTAGGAAAGCACCAAAATTTCAGCGAGAATGATTCTGATTTTATTACACTTGGTGTAAACGGCAATTCATAATGGATAATCAATAGTAACAAGGTCGCGGCAGTTGAGACTCACGTGAGACAATCTCATGGAGAAATCGAAACAAATGAGCACAACTGCACACTAAACTAATGTTTAAAATGTAGTTTTTATATTTATTACATAAAGCCTAGCCTAATTAATTAACATGACACGACTAAGAGAGTGCAGTTTTCCCCGAAAATCAGTACGATTAGTCATATAAAATGTAATTTTCCAGCAACAAAATTGTGGCCAGTGAAAATGCTGAGTGGCTAGTAATTTTGGAAAACCACTAGCCACAGTGGCTGGTGAGCAAAAGAGTTAATGTCAAGCCCTGTATACAGTGAATACTTGTATTTATACTTGTATTGCAGTAAAAAATGTGCTGTTTAACCGGAGTACGGTGGTGGGGGTGCTTGACATGTGTCAAACACTAGAAAGGGGTGCATGCTGCAAAAAGTTTGGGAACCACTGCTCTAGAGAACACAACTGGTTGCAAACTCCACCCATTTTTCTTCTAAAATTTCCAGACATGCTGAAGAAATTAATTTTGTAGATATAATGCTTTCTAATGCTTGAAGCTGAGTTACAAAACATTATCTAGGACCTTGCACGATTTTAGTCGGACTAAATCTCTATTTCTTTAGTTTTACATGTAAAGTGTTTGAAGTCCTGTATGTTTGCAGACACTGATTAAAGTGATTCATAGCAATTTTTGGGGGGCAAAACCGCCTATTTATCCCTGTGGATAAAGTGCATTGGTGTTAATCAAGTGCACACGGACACTCATAACTGCACAAGCCTAACATGAATAATGGTTTAGAGATAAACACACACCCAGGCAGCTCCCAAATTTTTTTGCTAACACCCAAATTGTTTTGAAACTCTGACTTTTCTCAGGTAATGTTTTGCAACCAAACTAAGATGAGGTTAGTGACATTTGCAACCTTTATCGCTCTGTCAAGACTTGCCCTAAAATCTTGCAAAGTAACTTGCTCAGACACACGTACACAGTGAAGTTCCATAAAGGACTACCCAGGGAAATGAGCACACTTCCATGAGAAAAAACAAAACTATAAAGATTGCTTGAGGAGAGAAGAAAAGGGGAGTGGTTGTTATTGTGCAACAGGCTAGTGTGTAGTTTCTAGGGCTGGGTAAAAAATAAATTTTTACGGAATGTCTAGCCTTTTTTTCAGTTAATGGACGGAACGTTGAAGTAGGGCTGGACAATATGGCCAAAATTGATATCACGATATATTTCTTAATTTCGGTCGATACGATATAATTCCGATATCGATATGAACACTATTTATCTGAAATAGAAATCTTTTGTAACATTATAAATGCCTTTATCATCACTTTTGATCAATTTTAAGCATCCTTGCTAAATAAAAGTATTAATTTCTATAATTTCTTTCCCAAAAAAATAATAAAAATTATACTGAATGGAATAGTGTATAATGTTACAAAAGCTTTTTATTTCAGATAAATGCTGATCTTTGAATCGTTCTATTCATCAAAGAATCCTGAAAAAAAATGTACTCAACTTTTTAAATATTGATAATCAGCAAATCAGCATATCAGAATGATTTCTGAAGGATCATGTGACACTGAAAACTGGAGTAATGATGCTGAAAATTCAGCTGCGCATCACAGAAATAAATTACATTTTAAAATCTATTCAAATAGAAAATAATTTTAAATAGTAAAAATATTTCAACATTTGACTGTTTTTGCTGTACTTTGGATCAAATAAACGCAG